CCCATTGCTCCGTGTCATTATCCCTAACACACTGATCTTGTTCCCACCATTGCTCCATGTTATTATCCCTAACACACTGACCTTGTTCCCCCCCCTCCATTGCTCTGTGTCATCATCCCTAACACACTGACCTTGTTCCCCCCATTACAAACACAAATATAAGGCACTGTGCTAACAGCAGCAGTAGCTTAGTATCCATTCAAAGTAAAGATTTTCCTCATTGAGCTGTAAACTCCTGATTTAAAGGGTTACTCCAAATACCATGACTACTTCAGTATTTTGAAGTGGTCATGGTGGTAGGAATTTGTATGTGCAGCGTTCCTCCTGGAATAATTGCACTTACAGAATTATCTGCACGAGTGTGCAGGGGGCTAGCTACACCGCCAGCACATGTGATTTAAGCAGCCCAGAAGTCCACGCTCCCTAATGTCAATTCTGTGCATCGTCCCTCATCAGCGTTTTCTCACCTCCCTCCGTTCCTGTAAAATTGCTATAAAAAAAAAATAGTCAATGAAACTCCTAGGCAAAGTTAAGTTATTGTGGCAAACCACATTTAATTAACTCATCAGATGGGCAGAATCATACTGTATTGCTTACAGATAATTAATGCCCCCCCGGTCTCTTCCCTTCCTGTGGGAATTATTAAAAATCACAAAAAGATAGAATTTAGATAGGAATTCCCTGCCGCACACGTTTTGTCTTCTGTACCTTTCCCTTTACATGTTTCAAATCCTTAATAAACATTTAATTTAAATAATAAAATTTGCACAATGACCTGTTTCATTGCAAAATAACTTTAACCCTGTCCTATATGTTAAAGCAAGCTCATATCCATCAACCTTCCGCACATTATCCTTCATATATCGCCAATTTATTCACAGCGAACGCATTACATCCTGATTATAAAATTGATTTAGTCATTATTTTTTGGTGAAATCATTGCCTGCATGTTTCACGGTCCATGAAAGGGTCAGATTGTGAGTTCTGTTGTCCAAATTCTGACATAACATAAAAAAATGTAAAGAAGCAAAACGTGAACAAGACTCCCGTACACAGAGCCTTATTCACAGCATGCTACAGAGGCAGCATTACAAAAGGTAACAGAGCTGCTGGCTCTCATTACGATATCAATCACTCACACAGCCATGTGAAGGCGCTGAATGCAGTTTGGGCATTATGTTATTTTACAGGATTAGAGGCACCATTCAATAATTGTGAAATAGCCAAACGTCAATTTTACATTCTTGTATTCCAAATTGTGTTCACAATTCACAAATACTGTGTTTCCCAGGACAGATGGTTTATTCAATAAAAAGCCATTTGTGGTGAAGTTACTTGGAGAATTTAATCCAAAATGGCCGCTCCAATTCAATGCAGCGTATTGTTAAGTGGATAAATCACCAGGAATTAAATGGCAGCAGCAAATGCAGAGAAACAAGACAATATTTACATTTAATCCATAGAAAAAATACAAAGGGTGCAAAATAAAATAAAAATAAAAATTAAAACATCTGACAAACTGTGTTTATAAAAAACCAATAAGTCTCCCCTAGTTGTTTCACACTTGTTGGGAACTGCCTGCCAAACGGTCTTCTCTCCAAGCATTCGGAAATTCAGACGCCGGATGCTTCGCTCCTTCCCCTTCTTATAACGTGACGCATACGTGACAACATTATTACGCAGATAGTTTGCATCGTTTCCACTGCCCCCTTACGTTTTGGGGTGTGGTTATAAAGTTAAAGCACTCACACTATACATAGAGCACTTTGTACTTTAGTCAGTGCCCTGTTGTGGTTCCTTCTTGGTCCCTATAATGAATTCTGTGTTCCTCTCATGTATTGGGTTCTGACTCAGATTGTTTACTGACTATTCTGTCTGTTATCCCTTGACCCGACTAAATGTCTAACATGCTCACGTCCCCTGGCTCACTTGAGTTTTTGGCCATTTCCCGCTGATTTTTATTCAGCCACGTTAAGTCCAGTCACTCTAATCGTCTGGTAATATTTATTTAAACAAGGTTACACCTTGCATGTTGGGGTTTGTTACTGTGACATTGTCCCGTATTCATCCGCTTATAGAAAAGTGGTTAATTACATTTACTGTCCACACAGGAAAAGTTGTGCCGAGCAGCAACCTAATCCACAGAAGGGTTAATGCTGAGCAGCATTTCTGCAAATGGGAACCTGGTAACTGCCTTTTGGGTCAAAGACCGATTACAGCCTATCAGACCTAGAGGAGGGGTATTTAGGCCCAGTTCTCATCCTGCTCAGTGCCCTGTTGTGGTTTCTCTTGTGGTTGTCCGAGAGCGCGTTCCTGGTTCAGGTTTCTTCTGTTTTTTGACTTTGTTTATTGACTTCTCTATATTCTGTATCTCTGACTTCTGGCTTTCTCTTATCGTTGTGTCTCTTTCTGTATCGCCTGACCTCGGCAAGTATCCTGACTATTCTTTGGTACGTTAAGTCCGGCCATTCTAAGGCCCGGTAATACATTACCTATTAGTCATCTGTGTGACACAGTTCTACGTGCTGGATCATACTGTAATCCTGACAGACATGTGGCCTTTGGAAGTGAATCTTCTATTAAATAGCTTGATTCAAAAATGTTTGGGATGGTTTTATCATGATAATATGAATGTAAGGTGTTTGGGTGGTGTATTATGATATTGTGAATGTAAGGTGTAAGATACCGCCATAGACACATCACTAAACTGTAAATGAAAATCATAACCTAGTCTCTCTCCTATTAGAATTTGATCCAAAACAATACACATGAAGGACAATATTGTAAAAAATGACTTCTATACTATTTCAGTGACTTACTGTTCGTTTCCTGTAGTGTCTGTATGCATTCGGTAAGACTGGACGCACAACCCCTCACTTTCAATGTGGACGCACAGTATGTCAGGATCTCTTGACTCTCCACCTGGTCATTGTACAGTTCAGCGATGACGGAAAACTTTCTGTCTAATTCAGGCACATTGACGTGTTTCACAACCAGCTTTTCCCCTTTCGTTAGAACTGGAACAAAAATAAAAACCTCTGGATCATTTCTGTTTCTGCAAACCCCACAAACGGATGCTACAGGCGCGCTTTCCATCTAGACGATATGTTTAGGTTTTAATCTTATTTAGTTAAAATATAAATAAATAATTTAGTTTACTCTAGAAACCCACCCTCTCCACCACTCACTCCCAACCTGTAGTGTTTGCGTTTTGCTGAATTAATACTGATTTACGTGAATTTAGAATTTTGATTTCTGGGAGTTGTAATCCAGCTCTGTACAATGAGAGTAAAATCATTGACCGAGTCACTAACTGCTGATAGCTCACTTTAAAGGCCGCACATCGTAAGGCAGGGGTTCTCAACGTTAGTCCTCAGGACCCCTTACCAGTCCAGGGTTTAGGGATTACCTGGGTGTGTCTAAGGTGTTTAGAAATAGAAAAAGAGTCTAAGGTGTTTTTTTCCTTTTTCTAAACACCTGAGACACACCCAGGTAATCCCCAAATCCTGGACTGGTAGGGGTTCCTGAGGACTAACAATGAGAACTCCTGTCCTAAGGGTTCTGCAGCAAAAACACGAACTGCAAATGTAAGTATCGTTTGCAAATTCAATTTAAATATTTGCATATATTGTTTGCTTTATCGGTAAAGACCTGGAATATCCACCTGAAACACTTATTGAAACATAATGAGCAACTTTTCCACCTGTATTTAGGTACATTGCTGCAGTTTATGTGGGACAGTCCTGATTTTGGGGTTGTCATGTTGTCCAGACTTAGTACCTTCATGTCCCACAGCTGGGGACATCAGCAAATTGTCCCTGTGCACAGCCATCCTAGGTACGCGATTCTGTTATGCCTAGAACAATCCGCTCTGGGACGAACCCCCAGACAACGCCACAGATTTCTCCGATGTCCACTCAGTGACTGAGCAGGGTGAAAATAAGGGGATCAGGGGATCTGTGACTGAACACCACACAGATCTCTCTAACCTACTCCATCTGGCACCTGGTGACATTTCTCATAAAAAGACTAGAATTATTCTCCTTCTGGACCCTTTATTCATCACCAAGGATTTTATTCTAGAAGATAAATAAGTGGAGAATCAGCTTTACCTTCGAAGCCGAGATAACGTCTTTAAACCAAAATAAATAGAGAGGAATGTGACAATCAGACTTCTTATTATAGGAGCAGAATGTAATTTCCTTAGACGGTTTAACCACTGAGGTTCCAGGAAGCAGCGTGTTCTAGGGTCTTATTTATCGCAGATTTGTTCATTTTTCATATTAAAAAGAAATGTCTTACCCTTCACTTGCTTTGCATTCTTCTGTGATCGTGCAAAAGGCTTTCTCTATAAAACATAAAATGCAATTATCGGTAGATATTCAGACTTAACATCTTCCTACATACATGTGGTGCATGTCTGGTCGGAGATCGTTTAATATATGGCGTCCTCTAATAAACATTATTGCAAGTGATGACCGGTTCATATTTAATGTAAATGGTTTTGGGATGATGCGATTGGCCGTCCAGTATGGTATGTAAATGGTTTTGGGATGATGTGATTGGCCGTCCAGTATGGTATGTAAATGGTTTTGGGATGATGTGATTGGCCGTCCAGTATGGTATGTAAATGGTTTTGGGATGATGTGATTGGCCGTCCAGTATGGTATGTAAATGGTTTTGGGATGATGTGATTGGCTGTCCAGTATGGTATGTAAATGGTTTTGGGATGATGCCGTCCAGTATGGTATGTAAATGGTTTTGGGATGATGTGATTGGCCGTCCAGTATGGTATGTAAATGGTTTTGGGATGATGTGATTGGCCATCCAGTATGGTATGTAAATGGTTTTGGGATGATGTGATTGGCTGTCCAGTATGGTATGTAAATGGTTTTGGGATGATGTGATTGGCTGTCCAGTATGGTATGTAAATGGTTTTGGGATGATACGATTGGTTGTCCAGTATGGTATATGTCACCTGGAACCATATCACACAGTCTTAAAGGGAAACAATAGTGCCAGGAAAATAATAACCCCTTCTGTCACTTACCTGGGTCCAGCGCCGATGTCCCTTGGCGCGGACTCGGGTCCACCTTCACTCCTCCCCAGCAGACGTCAGTCGGTGGGAAAGACCGCATGCGTGGCAATGTCCGCGCTTGCATTAGGGTTTACCCTATGGGGATTCTGATGACGCTGGAAGTCCTCATGCATAGCGTGACCATTTAGGTTTCCAAAAATTGTCCGGAAGTCCCTCAGTGGTTGTCTGCTAGACGGCCACTAGAGGAGGAGTTAACCCTAGCAGGTAATTATTGCAGTTTATTAAAAAGTGCAATAACTACATGCTCAGAGTTAAGGGTGATGGGAGTTGGCACCCATACCACTTCAATAAGCCGAAATGGTTTGGGCTGAAAACCGCACACGTTTGTATCTCTTTAGAAAGCAAAGTCTTTTTATTATTAGATCTGGCAACCAAATAATTTAAATAAAGCAATAAAAGAAAAGACTTGGGCTTTGAGCACTAACTGATATTCACAAATAACTATAGTTATAGCTTACACGCTGCCAACAAAATAGAAAATTTAGATCAGACCATTTTAAAAGGTGGTTTTCTCAGCAGTCTCTTTGGAGAGTCTCACTCTCTGACATTTTATAGCCGCTTTGTGCTGCTCACAGCAAACAGGTGAGGGTCTACCTGTGAGATCCAGAACTCCCGGACTGGATTCCTCACCTGCTGTGCTGCATGTAAAGTATGGGGTGGAGCACGGGCCCTCCAAATGCTCCCCAGGAACCCATATTACATCTCAGAATTGGCGTAACCAAAACATTCTTCCCGGGGCTATTACCGTATCGTACATTACAGTGTTTTTGGAGAAATACAGACACCATAGCTCTGTAATATATATGTAAACAGGCTAGGGGAAATGTGATTGGCTGGCCAGTATTATATGTAAATAATTTTGGACGATATGATTGGCTGGCTGCCCAATATTGAATGTTTGGGACAATATGATTCTATGTAAATGGGTTTGAGACGATATGATTGGTTGTCCCACATTGTATGTTAATAAATTTGGGATGATGTGATTGGCTGTCCAGTATTGAATGTAAATGATTTCAGAGAATACGATTGGCTATCCAGTATTCTATGTAAATGGGTTTGGGACGATATTATTGCATCACATAAATGTAATGTGTATGGATTGGGAGGATTTTTCTCATATCTCACTTTTCATGAATAATCTCCAAAATCAGAACGAGATTGTACACATTGCGCATGAGTCGGTGTCTGTCTGGCAATCTGTCACCAGTATGATAACCACCGTGCGTAAACCCTGCGTCTCTTTCATAACGTGGGACGTACGTACCTGGTGCCGAGATAACCCTATCACTAGTGGCCATTATAGGTGTCTGTCTGGAAATCTGTCACCAGTATGATAACCACCGTGCGTAAACCCTGCGTCTCTCTTTCATAACGTGGGACGTACGTACCTGGTGCCGAGATACCCCTATCACTGGTGGCCATTATCGGTGTCTGTCTGGCAATCTGTCACCAGTATGATAACCACCGTGCGTAAACCCTGCGTCTCTCTTTCATAACGTGGGAGGTACGTACCTGGTGCCGAGATACCCCTATCACTAGTGGCCATTATCGAGGTCTGTCTGGCAATCTGTCACCAGTATGACAACCACCGTGCGTAAACACTGCGTCTCTTTCATAACGTGGGATGTACGTACCCGGTGCAGCGATACCCCTATCACTAGTGGCCATTATCGGTGTCTGTCTAGCAATCTGTCACCAGTATGAGAACCACCGTGCGTAAACCCTGCGTCTCTCTTTCATAACGTGGGATGTACGTACCTGGTGCAGAGATACCCCTATCACTAGTGGCCATTATCGGTGTCTGTCTGGCAATCTGTCACCAGTATGATAACCACCATGCGTAAACCCTGCGTCTCTTTCATAACGTGGGATGTACGTACCTGGTGCCGAGATACCCCTATCACTAGTGGCCATTATCGAGGTCTGTCTGGCAATCTGTCACCAGTCTGACAACCACCGTGCATAAACCCTGCGTCTCTTTCATAACGTGGGACATACGTACCTGGTGCAGAGATACCCCTATCACTAGTGGCCATTATCGGTGTCTGTCTAGCAATCTGTCACCAGTATGATAACCACCGTGAGTAAACCCTGCGTCTCTCTTTCATAACGTGGGATGTACGTACCTGGTGCAGAGATACCCCTATCACTAGTGGCCATTATCGGTGTCTGTCTGGCAATCTGTCACCAGTATGACAACCACCGTGCGTAAACCCTGCGTCTCTTTCATAACGTGGGATGTACGTACCTGGTGCAGAGATACCCCAATCACTAGTGGCCATTATCGAGGTCTGTCTGGCAATCTGTCACCAGTAAGATAACCACCGTGCGTAAACCCTGCGTCTCTTTCATAACGTGGGATGTACGTACCTGGTGCCGAGATACCCCTATCACTAGTGGCCATTATCGGTGTCTGTCTGGCAATCTGTCACCAGTATGATAACCACCGTGCGTAAACCCTGCGTCTCTCTTTCATAACGTGGGACGTACGTACCTGGTGCCGAGATACCCCTATCACTAGTGGCCATTATCGGTGTCTGTCTAGGAGCGCCTCATGTGATTGCCCCCTGGGCACAGGGGTTGGATCTGTCTCACCTCAGAAGTTAGTCTCAGGACTGACAGGGTTAACTGCTCAAATGAAAGTGTGTTTTTGTTAGTTCTTGTTTTGCGTGTATATATTTATGTATTATTTTGTTTCAATGTTCATGAGATGACAGGAAAGCAGATAGGGCTTTTATAAGGACTCCAAGATCCGGGTTAGCTGTCTGGCAGAGCATTGTGGGTGTTGCGAATCTAAAGTGTGTTGTGCAATCTTGTTTGTACCTCTTGGCTGCACGTTTTGGAGGGAGACACCTACCTCTTCCTCTAGGGGATTTGGACAACAACATTGCCAGAAAGACATTGTCGGCACGGACAGACAGCATTCAGCAGCAGTTGGTCACAAGAAACACAAAGAGTGCGAAGAGAGTCACAAGACTACAAGTGAAAGGACTGAGGATCGGTGACGTGATGGTGTCTTGTGGCCGAGCTAGAAGGCGTCTAACAGGTTTCCTGGTTACAGCTTGTGCTTGTTCAGGGAGGGGACGGGGACTGTCACTTCAATAAGACCAACCTCTGTCCTTTAACCTTAAAGGAACAGCTCAATGGAAAAAGGTTTATAACAGTTTAATAGATATAACATTCTAAACTATCTAGTAGATATATACCCTCAATGAAAACATGATAGATTTAATTAGGCATTTTTTCATTGGGGTTTTATCTAAAAACCGCTTGTAAAAGCTGCAGATCTGCTGTCTCCTGCCTATGCATGCGCTCCTCTTCATCGCCAGCATTTTCAGTCTGTGCTGAGGCTTCTCATTAAAACGATTCTGAGTTTGAGTCACAAACAAGTGTGAGTGCGCACTTACAGCTTTCAGCCCATGTTCTCCAGGCTGCCAAGGATAGAACTAAAGTGGGTTCTCTGGGTGTGTACGAGAATGCACCCACCAGCACCCATCACTTTGATAACTCCATGGAGCTAACAGAATCAGAACGAAAAATGTATAATTAGTCATAAAACGGACAATTTCAAATACAAATCAGAACTTTTATAAACTGCAATTAAAAATTATATTGTTATGTTTTATCAAAATGTATCAATAAAAACTATTTGAAAAGAGTAGATGGACCTCACATTACGCACTCCAGCGTTGCCATTTAGTCCTTTTATCTCCTGAGGGGTTTAGCTGTTTCATAGTTTAATTAAGATCACATTTTTTTTTTATTGCTCTAAAGAAAATCAAATTTCTCTAAAACCTGCAATTTCTTAATTTTTTTTTAGTCTGCTCCTCCCCCCTACCGCCCTATTTCTGCAGATTTCTGTCTTAATTCTACTCAAACTTTGCTTTCTAGACCCTCAAGACTTACTCGGACCCACCAAGATGCATGGTGGGCAATTCGAACATTCTAGGCATCATCTGTGCTTACAAAGAATCATGGGACATTTTGAATTTGCATCAGATGCCAGCTGGTAGGGCTATAGACTTACATTTGAAACAAATTGATGAAAAAAGTAACAAGTCTAGTGACAACCTTTTAGTTAACTAAAAGGTAGTCGAAACGGCTGTGACCAAAGTATCCAATGATTTAATTGCTGCTAAATCCCGCGGCCAATACTCTATCCTAATCCTCCTTGATCTTTCTGCTGCCTTTGACACTGTTGATCATTAACAGCTTCTTCGCATTCTCTGTATTTTTGGTCTACACGATATTGCTCTCTCCTGGTGCTCCTCCTACCTCTCCCAGCGCTTTTTCAATGTTTCTTTCTCTGACTCTGCTTCTTCTCCCCAACCCCTCCCTGTCGGCATCCCCCAAGGTTCTGTCCTTGGGCCCCCTACTGTTCTCCATCTATACTGCCTCCCTTGGTAAACTCATCAGCTCCTTTGGCTTCCAATATCATTTCTATGCAGATGAAACGCAAATCTACCTGTCCTCTCCTGATCTCTCTCCGCCCATCTTGACTCGTGTCTCTGACTGCCTCTCTGTGATTTATAACTGGATGGCTGCTCACTTCCTTAAACTCAACCTGTCCAAAACAGAACTTCTGGTCTTTCCTCCCGCAAGTGTTGCTACTCCCGTGTCTCCCTCCCTCCAAGTCAATGGCGCTACCATCACCTCTACTTCGCAGGCTCGCTGCCTGGGTGTTCTTTTTGACTCCAACCTCTCCTTCACCCTTCATGTCCAATCTATCACCAAATCCTGCTGCTTCCATCTCAAAAACATAGCGCGTATCCGCCCCTATTTAACGCCGGATGCGGCTAAGGTGCTGGTCCATGCTGTTGTTCTCTCTCGCCTTGACTACTGCAATCCCCTTCTCAGTGGTCTTACGTGTTCCCAGATTGCCCCGCTGCAATATATAATGAATGTGGCGGTGAGGCTAATTTTCATGTCTACTCGCACCTCCCACGCCATCCCGCTCTGTCAGTCAGTGCAATGGCTTCCAGTTAGATAAGGGCTCAATTTAAAATTCTGGTGCTTGCTTACAAGTCCCTACATAATAATGCTCCAACCTACCTATCCTCCCTCATACACAAGTATGTCCCATCGAGGCCCCTATGCTCTGCCAAAGACCTACATATATCCTCTGTCCGTACGCCCACCTCCAAGATTTCTCCAGGGCTGCACCTCTTCTGTGGAACTCCCTTCCCTTCTCCGTTAGACTTTCACCCACTCTCCACTCATTCAAGAAATCATTGAAAACTCACTTCAAGAAAGCATATCAATTATTTTATTTTATTTATAAAATATTTTACCAGGAAAGATACATTGAGATTTATCTTGTGTTCAAGTATGTCCTGGGTCCACAAATCATTGCATTGTTACATTAGGGTACAATAAAATACAAAAACAATATTAATACACAATAAATACAAAATGTAACATAGAACAGGCAGGAAATATATAATCAAATTAAACTGTTAGCAGGTTTTTATCCCCCACCCTCCATGACTCCTCTCCTGCAATTGTCAAAATTACCTACCAAGCCCTCAATGAATACTTTTCTAACAACCTACTTCGTGCCCCTACTTTTACCCTTTGTGTCACTATACCCCACTCCCTCTAACATGTAAACTCACTGAGCAGGGCCCTCAATCCCTCTGTTACTGTGTCACTATACCCCACTCCCTCTAGAATGTAAGCTCATGGAGCAGGGCCCTCTACCTCTCTGTTCCTGTACGTCCAATTGTCTGGTTAAAGTTACATGTCTGTTAGTCCACCCATTGTACAGCGCTACGGAATCTGATTGCGCTATATAAAAATAATAATAATACAAAATAAAGTGCCTTTAAATTAAAGAAATATTGAGAATTTGCAGCCAATAACTTGTCTTTTCTTCTTTACACCTGAATGAAGTATATTGTTACTCTCTAACACACAAACGGTTAATCCTTGTAAGAGAATACAGCTCAGTACTGTAAAATTTACTAATATGCGCCATTTCTTACACATAGAAGGTCATATTTATACTTGTCGGATGGATTCTTTTTTATTATTATTATGTTTTTTGCTAGTCACAGACTAGTGGAAATTTCCAGACATTTATATGAAAAAATAAACATATATTAAGTAGTGAGCAGGGTGTGGCGTCCAATCTGTGTCACTCGGAGCAGCACAAATAAACCGTGGAATTGTGTTCAAATAAATCTATTATGGAAACTTGGTTTTATTTTGTATTCTGTGCCCTTAAATAAGAGATAATGTCATGTTTTCCAGTAACAGAATTAAATACGAGTTTTATTCCACGTAAAGGTTTTGTTAAGACTGAGTTCTGCTTTTGTTGGGTCCATTATGTTTGTGTTTCTGAGTCCGAGTGTGTTCCTTGCTCACGGAATGGATCGGACACAGGATAAATCGTGCAAATTTCAGGAAATTGTTGTTTAAACTATTCCAGAGATGATCAGGCTGAAGCTGAACCATGTTTGTGATACATACATGTAACAGTGATACATGTAATAGTGATACATTGTGTGAAGGACCGCCTGGCACCCTGACCGGGTGCATCTATCAGTCGATGCTCCTAGTGCTCACCAAGGACTTCTAGCACTCCACCAGACACCATCAGCACTGTAGACTCCCACAAACTGCCACAGCTTGATTGGGGATCTCGCCGTCCTCCACCCACCCTGGAACCAAGACCAGGATAAAGCTTCCATTGGGTGAACCTCTCCTACCCCAGAGAGTATAGCAGGAACAGCTCTTATAAGAGCTAGTGATTAGAACCGAGGGGAGTATAATGAGTATAGCAATCCCCAGAGTGAATATAGCTGTCCCCTCCACACATTAGACGAGGCTCTATGTTGAGGGTGAAAAGGAAGTGATTTTAATGGTGCCACACTTGGCCTTATATGACTATCCCCATGCAAGGGGCACTCCCACATGGACCTTGTGGGGAACGCCATTACAAAGTCACAGACCAATAATAACAGTGTTACAACGCATGACACTCCCATATACAATACAATAAGTCTTCCCCTTTACTTAGGTTATAATTGAGTCAAGCACTATACTAAACTCAATTATCTCCAAACACACAAAAAAACACATTTTTACAAAAAAAACAAATACCTTAAAACACATAAAATCCCCACAAAAGTTACCTCAAATGATAGCCCTGATCTGGGTGACCAACATATCCAAAACTCACAGAGATTGGTTCAGGGGTTCAGAAATTTCCTGGAAGTCATAGTTTTTACCAATCGCACGCATGGTTCCATACCCAAAACAGTCCCATAGCATCGTGGTTAAGTGCCGCTGGGTAACCGACCCGAAACCGCGAAGTCTTCATGCCAAAAATAATTCCAGGGCATTCACAGCTAAGTCCCCCTGAAGTCTATTCACGGTTTTAGTCCAATGCGAACGGCCCGGGAGCTTGTGTTTGGTTCTATGAAAAATGCCGGACCAGGGGAAATAAAATATGGTTCTTTACAGTGGTTGACTTGGCCTGTAGTCTTTTGGCAAAAGGCTGGCCAGCAGGCCCCTCCATGCACCCGTGACGAGGTTCAGTTTGTCACACATGGTATAAACAGTGCATAATTTATTTTTATTTTTTAAAAGATACACACTGTTTAAAGTTCATATTGCGCTAAACACCTCACAATGACCGTAAGGTGCCCGCCCCCACCCCATGCCACACCCTCCAAGATCGAAAGGCTCCACCAAGAATTTCCAAACTGGTCTGGTCCATTACAGATTCCAATATAGATTTCAGTATAGATTCCATTACAGATTCCAGTATAGATTCTGTAGCAGTCACCCCACGGTGAGTAGAGGGGTTTCCACTGCCAGAGACGTCCTTCTCCCAAGTGTGAGTTGTGTTACAGCATTCCAAGTAGTCATCCAAGTAGAGAAGCAGGTATAGCTTTT